GTATTGCAATTGCAGTTGTAATACAACTACATTGTAATGCAACTAAATCATATTTCAACTACGTTGTAATTCAATTACGTATCTCAAACCTTAATATTATTAACACAAATAATAATATTATAATATTATAAACACAAATGTGTAAAGTACTTATTATATACATATATTTAAAGTTCTTATTATATATTTTAAATACTCATCATATATCGTAAATACTTATTATATATTTTGAATATTTATTATATATTCATAAAATCGATAGAATTTTTCAAGTAGTATTTCATTCAATACAAAAATAGATTACTACTTCCAACGAAGCATATGTGACACAATTGAGTAAAAAAGTATTTGCAAAGTATTGTTATTTTCTAGTCGAAATATTTGTACCCAGGTCTGATAACAAATGCAGAACAATCCGCAGTTGAGCTATTTCGGACGGCATAGATTCTCTCGTCGAACGGAACGTGCGATCGCAGCGTGAAAAACTCGCCGTGCATCCGGTAACGTTGATGCAATTAACAGACGAGCATTTCCGGATTCGCAGTCGCGGGGATTAGAACGCTGGTTCCGTCGCGGGCCGTCTCGTGTCCGCGCATTCGTCTTAGGGGACTCGCTTAAACACGGTTTCGGTAGGCGACTGGCCATAAGGTTCCCGGCGTGTGGGTTGCGCCAGCTGCGCCCTGAAATATTTAGAAGCGCAACACGAAATTCGAAGCTGAACGACACCGTCCGCGCCAAGAACACCCGCTCGCCTATCCGCGCGCTCGAGACACGCTTCGTATCGCAATTATTTATTTATGTCGCGCTCGTAGAAACACGGCCGACCTGTACTCGCGAGTTTCTGCAGCGCAAACAACGGGACGGGGCTGGAAATAAGAAGGAAGGAAAGTAGGCGAAATGAATAGGGAATGAGGAGAGGGACAAAACCGTGTGCTTCTAGACGAACAAACGGATACTGCGACGCACGGGATGACTCGCTCATATTGCTTGCCCGCGCGCGCGCGCGCGCGTGTGTGTTGGTGTGTATATGCACGTGCTGTCGTATTTTTTATTATTAAACAATCTCAAGAACACGACGTGGAGGACCGTGAGAATATTCCTCGAGAAGTGGCGAGAGCCTGTTTACACAATTGCTTAAACTGATCTGCTGCATCCCGTCGCAATTTCGTGCGTTCAAACATCTTCAAACTTCGGCGAGCAGGAAAATTGAACCGTGGAACCGTTTCTCAGGATATTATTTAGCTGTTTGTTAAGGATCTTTACTGGGAAACTCAGAATGTACATGATCTTACGTTTATTTCAGTTTGAGAAATGTATAAGATTTTTATTCTGTTGCAGTGCTTGTATGAACGTTTATTTTTTTAATATCCTGGTACCGAAACATTTTATTATCGAAAAATTCCATTCAAGTTCTCAACCAGGTGATAATGTATCTAATTAATACAGTGATTGAGTATTGGAACGTTTGATTGCCAGAATGTTTCAAAAATATATGGTCGAATAAGAGAGTTTACTGTGCTAACAATAAACTACGGTATTTATGGCTGAATTTTACGTCAATGTAAAATATTAACCAAATATTACCCAAAAAATAAAAATTATGTATATTAATTTATATTAATTATTAATTTATATATTAATAATTATATGTATTAACCAAAAAATAAAATATTAATCAAATATTAATCAAATATATATATATATATATATATACATATATATATTAATCAAATTTTATTATAAATAAATAATATTATTATTAAATAATATTATTAATCAAATATATATATATTAACCAAATATTAACCAAAATATTAACCATTTACTAGCAATATTTTTCTATTATTTTTTGTATTATTATTATTTATACTAGTATTTTATCAAAGATTGTTAAGAAGCGATAACAATTTCATCCGGGATCGAACAATTTGTTTGAATTTTTACGATGTAATTGCTGCTTTTGAAATCATTATTTGGAAGAAAATTAACGAACTTCTTTTATAAATGTAGTTCAAATTTCATTCAATCCTCCCCGAAAATAATAAGTGATTTCGTTTCCTCGCCATCTACCGTTCTTGTCGCAGACTTCAAAGCGATACTCAAGTAACAGTTAAGTGAAACATATTTCCCAAAGATACACATGTGAACTCTGCGTCAAAAAGTTTTAACAAAAGGTCGGGATAACAAAGAACTGGTTTTTCGTTGGTCGCAGCGTAGAAACAGATTGGCGATATTTACCTAATCTGTTTACACCGACTGTGTTTACTCATTCAGGTCGCTGTAAACCGTGTTTGCTAACCCCATCGATCACTAACTTTAAACAAAAAGTTTGCGCTTGCCAAAATCAATACGAAACGGAAATTAGTGTGAAAAAATCGTAATACAGTGGTTGGAAGCGAAAGGAATGTCGTGCCACGAAATTCACAGTTTCAATTGAATATTTTATAAGTACGCAAATGTTGGAACGGTCTGTTAATTAACTTGGTAATAGACAATCGTAATATTTGACACGAGAATTTCTGATTGCGCTGCATCACAGAATATTGCAGAGATGTAAGTAGAATGCATATTATATACATTTATATGGTGAAAGTGAGTAAGATCAGTTATTGTGAAGCAGTAAAAACGTTTAGAGTAGTGATAATTTGGAAACTTATTGTAAAGCAGTAAAAACGTTTAGAGTAGTGATAATTTGGAAACTTATTGTAAAGCAGTAAAAACGTTTAGAGTAGTGATAATTTGGAAACTCGTTAAAATTATGCAGTACAGAAATATATAGCAAGCATAATTCTTGCAACTTGTAACTTATCTTAACAATATATATTCTGCATAGAAATCTGCAGACTAGTAATCAGCAAACCATTTTTCTTGAAGTGAATTATAATGATACAAAGGATTATTCTTAGCAAATACAAAATTTGAACGACGTTCATTAACGTCTGGCTCTTGTTTGTCTGATCATGGCTGCCTGGTTCTACTTCATTTTTGCTAACTCAAGACGATAAATATTAAATATTATAATATATATAATATAATTATTAAATATTAAATACTAAAAATATTATCAAACAGAAATTAACAATAACATTGTTAAATTTCGATTCATGTAGAATCAACGGTAAATATGAAACAAAAAAGATCATTCTCTCAGAAAAAACAATCCTCTCAGAAATTCAGAACCTCAAAATTCAATCCTTGCTCAATTCTTCAAAATTCAAAATACAAAATAATGATAAATATAATTTATATATACCATTATGATTATATATTCCATTATTATTAATGGTATAACATTATATTAATAATTTATTATAATAAACATTATTATAGCAATAATGGTACATAATAGCAGTATACTATACTATAATATTATACCACTATTATATCATTAATTATACACCATTAATTTATACATATAGTGATTATATCTACTGTACATTATTAATTCAATTCCTCATTGAAATTCGCCTCTCGTGAAATGCGGTAAGAACAATTCTCTGTTACGAATTATTAATAAAATTCTTCTGAAAATTCAGCACTCGTACAATAAAATAATAATCATAAAAATGCTTCCTCTGTGCAAGTCTATTCGAAGCATCATTGTTCGCGCTGGGGTACGCGATAGGGTACGCAAACACAGTCGAAGAGGACTTGCTGGCGGTGGTGGTTTTTAAACAATTCGAAATCAAACGTACGGCGAGCCCTTTGGTTGAACAATTTGCCGGGCAGTATCGTACGTCGTAATCGAGCCGAATGGGCAGCGGCATTACTGGCGACCGTTCGGAATTGCTGCGACAACGTTCCGTGGTTGCGTGGCAATTCCGGCCCGGTGGAAAGTTCAGTCAGCAGTACGAACTCGTTTTGACAATCCAACTCCGGGAAGATAAAACCTCGCCCCTCCCGCGTGTTCCGATCGTGATCGGTTTGGACTCGAAATGCCGCGCGTTGCTCGTCGCTCGTGACTACCGTGATTGCCCTAACTTTCAACCTGCTACGCTAATGGCGCGAGAATTCCGTTTTCTGTATCGAGTGCTGAAACACTCGCCCGTCTTGTTTCAATCGCCCGAATTGCCCGCGCTTCTTCTCCATCCTCTCTAATCCTCTGCATTCCGAATTATTACCCTAACTTTACACGTTCACGCTTCAACTGTCACGCGGATCGTTTTGTCTGCTATACAAGCACCTTTTGTTTCATTTAACATTGTCGTCCAGTTGCCCGAGTTACCGGAATTCGTCTTCAGTGATATTTATTTGTGTATTAACCGTGTGCGTTGGCGAAAAGTGCGTTGACGTTTAATTGAATATTTGCTGTAAATGATGTTTCCTTATGCTTAAAGTGCTATTATAGAATCATTTCTACAGGAAATCAATTCTCTTGTTCAGCTGCAGGCTCTATAAACAATTTCTGAAAAATTTATTTGGTATTACATATAAATATATAATATTAGATATAAATATAGAGTGCTGTATACAAATATAGCAATAGATATAATTATATAATAATACATACACACATATGGTACTATATGTAAATATATAGTATAACATAAATATTTATATAATGTTACATACAAATATGCAATATTATATGTAAATATATGGTATTACATATAACTATTTAATATCGTACATAAATACTTAATGTTACATACAAATATCCAGTATTATATATAAATACATGGTATTACATATAACTATTTAATATTACATACAAGTATGTATATAATATTATATATAAATATATAGTACTGTATATATAACAATTTACTATCGTACAGAAATATTTACCATCGCATACAAACATATGCGAAGCAAAGTGCAATGTTCGAAGTATGTACTAGTAGAGTACAAAGGAGGTACTGTGGCAAATATTCGCACCTCATGTCACGGGATAATTAGCAAGTCTCTAATAAGTGCCAAGCGGTGCGCTAATATTTTTCCAAGGTGTGATACTTCTCGAAGCACTTGCCAACGTGCAATGCAACACCGCAGGTGGAACACATGAACACGGTAGAACTGCGTTTCTTCGCAGCGGTGCACACTCTGCACGGCCGCCGAGGGTTCTCTATCTTCCCGCTGCCGACAATTTTGGTGATCGTGTGCTCCCGCATGTCCAAGGACAGCCTCGATGGAGGATCATACTTCGGAGCTCGTTTATTCGGCATCGACGAACCTGATCATCAAATCAGTCCATTAATTAATTACGCAAAGTACAAGGTTTTTACATCGATTAGTCTGTCCAACGAATGATTTACCTAAGCTCATTATCCGAATGAATTCCTTCTAATCGAATAGTTTTCATACGAATAATTCATTTTATTCCTCATAAATTATCTGTCTATTTATTCGAATAATTCGTTGTTCGAATAATTCCTTATTCGAAAAATTCATTGTTCGAATAATTCATTATTCGAATAATTCTTTGTGCGAATAATTCGTTATTCGAAAAATTCATTATTCGAATAATTCGTTATTCTAATAATTCTTTGCGCGAATAATTCGTTATTCAAATAATTCTTATAATTCGTTACTCGAATAATTCGTTACTCAAATAATTCGAATAAATCGTTATTCGAATAATTCTTTATTCAAATAATTCGTTATTCGAATAATTCGAAAAAGAAACACGGTAGAAATAAGTCGCTGAACTATGGAAAAACACATTACATTCCATCATTTTCATTCAAATAAATTATTTCCCGCCTGAATTCCTGTACGAATAAATTCTTCCTCTGCGAACATATTCGTACGAGTTTTGTAGAAATTTGAATTACCGCTTTCCAGACCACTGTGCAATGTAGCAATAAATTCATACTCGGTTGCGGATCCCCGGAAGCCACGGCGACTTCCTCGGCGGTGATCCAATCGCGAGCGACGCACAACAGGAACTTCTTAAAGTGGAGATCGCTCTTGCAGCTCTGTTTGTGGACGACGAAAGCGTTGAACAGAGCGCAATTGATCAGATAGAGAACTACTTTCTTCTGCCACCGCTTCGATCGTCTGAGAATCGAGTAGCACGAATACTGATCGGCTCTGTTCACGGACTTCAACAGTTTATTGAACTCGACGACGCAGGCTGGTTTCTTGATCTCCTCGTTGGTCCTTTTGCTGGACTTCCCGGTGCCGATCAGATCGGCGGAATGGATCGTCGAGATGACGTAGACGGTCTTGTGCTTCGGCTTCCAGGCCTGGATCAGCACGTCGCCTTTCCTGCGGAACCTCGCCTCGTACTTCTGCAGGTTAAAATGCTTCAGGCAGTCCGGAATGCAGGTGTTCCGGTTGATGATCCCGCAGACCCTCGTCCCGCGTTCCAGCAATTTCTCGATGGTCCTTATATTGTCGTAATAGTTATCCACGTAGACGTGGTGCCAGAGGTTTAGGTACGGCTGCAGGATGTTCAGAACACTCTCGTTCAGCTTCTGATCCTGCTCATAGTACACCTTCAAGTTCGAAATGTAGCCTGTCAGCGCCTCGGAGACAGTGCGCACCAGGATCCTATGCTTCTCGCTCTTCCCGGAATTATGCGAACCGAAAGGCAACTTTCCCCTCCAAGGGATCACGGTCTCGCTCAATCGTAGATCTCTGCCAGGCTTGTAGACCCCTTGGAACTTCCTTATGAAGTACGCCAAGACGCTCGCGATGCTGATCGATTTGTTTTCCTCGGGGATATCGTCGCCGTCGAAGTTCCAACCCTGCCAGATCTGCCGAAACCGGTTCCTCGTCATGGTTTGCGAGAAGATGGGGGTGGCGATTAGGGGATCGGCCGACCAGTAGTCGTTGCGGTCGTCCTTCTCCACCTGGCCCATGATCACGATCAGTGCCAGGAACTTCTTCATCTCGGCGACTGTGACGTCGGTCCATGTCGCGGTCTTCGAGGTCGTCGGGGTGAAGAGGTTCTGCTGTGATAGACATCCCGTTCAGAATTATGGGTTCGGATTATGCGCGGTTTCGGTGTGAACTCGCGCGAATGTTCGGCGTCTAAAGCTTTGACGTTCGACCAAATTGCACTGCTACCACGTGTCAGGATTACGACGATGATGGTATCGTAACTACGTGCGAGAATTTATTCATTTGTTCGAAATCGAAACAGACTTTTTGTGATTGTTATAATAAGAAGTTGATAGTAAGAAGACTGTCAGACTAAGGGATTCTATGCATTTGTTGCTAAAAATTCACAAATATTTGTATTTCTTAGTTGCAATATTTTTACTTAGATCCGATTGGCATCAGTTCATTTTGTATTGAATATTGAGTTCATTTCCAAGAGGTCATTAACAATGGAGTTATTTAGTGACCACTTCTACCAGTTATCGATTGGATGACTTAATTTATATTTAATAGTTAAGGATATTAATATATCTATCTATTAATATATATTGTCAAAATTATTATTAAGAATGTGTAAGAGAAATTTAAAATTGTGAAAAGATTGAATAAATTATTTTTAACTTGTTGAGATTGTTATTAAAAATGTGTAAGACAAATTTAAAATCATGGAAAGAATAAATGTGTTGAAGAATATTAACATACTATTCTTTACTTATTAACATTATTATTAAAAATGAGTAAGGCAAATTTAAAATCATGGAAAGAATAAACGTGTTGAAGAATATTAACATACTATTCATTACTTATTAAGATTATTATTAAAAATGAGTAAGACAAATTTAAAATTATGGAAAGAATAAATGTGTTGAAGAATATTAACATACTATCCATTACTTATTAAGATTATTATTAAAAATGAGTAAGACAAATTTAAAATTATGGAAAGAATAAATGTGTTGAAGAATATTAACATACTATTCATTACTTATTAAGATTATTATTAAAAATGAGTAAGGCAAGTTTAAAATCATGGGAAAAAAATAAATGTATTGAAGAGAATATTGACACACTATTCATTACTTATTAAAATTACTATTAAAAATTTAAAATCATGGAAAGATTTGGACCCGGCTATGTTCGAATTCATCGACAACAGCGAAGCAGAAGCGTTTGCTGCAAAGAGAAAGCGTTGTTCCCGATTCCGCGTGAAATTTCCCGTCACGCCATTCCCAAAACTGATGATTAATCGCGGGACCTTGTCGTGCTGGAAGTAGCGATTGGTCTCGTCAACGAACGACTGGACCAGATCATCCCCGACGAACAGCTGCACCGTCTGCTTCACGTTTCCGGCGTCCTCTAATCCCCGCGGACCAGGTTCTCCGCGGAAAGAGTGCACTTCCGGCGGCGCATCGATCTCCGTCCACTCGGCGCCGGCCTGACGATCGTTATTGTCCTCCTCGGAGTCGCTATAGATCGGCAACCGGTACTTGGTGAATCGTTTCGAGGTGATGTCGCTCTCGCTGCCGGAGGAGCCCTCCTCGTCGCTGCTCGTCAGCAGATAAAAGTTATCCGAGGAGCCGGACATCGCGGCCGCATCCGCGGTGCACTGCCGCGCATCGAATTCGCTGTCGTGCGGTTTTAAACGAGACGTGGATTTCCGCGAACTACGTCGGACGACGTGGATGCCGGCGGAGCCGGTTGCGAAGGAGACCGCACGGCACTGGGATGAAGAGATTGATTGGATTTAGCCGGCTTCTGGGCTCGATACTATACTGACGCACACGTGAGACCGGCTGCGAACCTGAACTCACGCGAACGTGAGACCAGCCAACTATGTAATGGCCGACGGATGGATAACCTAACCTCGGCCGAGCAGGGACGGTGTGGGCGGACACGTGCCCTGGTCTCTTTCGAGAAGAGCTGGACATTTTTTTTCTTTTTTTTGGGGGGGGATTTTCTGCTCTCGAGATCCGTTTCCGGAGAAATAACGCGAAAATTCGTTTCAGACGATGACTTGAAAATTGTTGATCGTGAAAATCGCAGGGTATAATTGTTGCAACAGAAATGAGAAACGAGCTTGGGATAACGATTATTTATTCGAGCAGAATGTTTTTCGTTAGGAACGGTTTTATGCGACGGAAAAATCGCTGTCATTGTCGGTAACGATTGTCGACGTGGGAAACTTTAGCTCGGTCGCTTAAATATTTCGAACAATAAATACAAGTATTTGCAAATATTGTTCATTCCAGCTGTGCTACGTATGCTTCGTTTAAAATGGAAATTTATTTCTGCGTTAAATGAAATGCTAGTCGAAATACTTTATTGATTTTGCAAATGTATAATGGGTGTTTCAAATTGCAAAAGTAAAAAACGGAAATTGTAATTCTATAATTCTGTCGCCCCTGATATTTATGCGTGCGTGCAATTTACGGTAAAATCTTCGTAATTAACCCTCAGCTTGGAAACAAAAATGAACAATTTGTGAAGAGGAAATACATACGATTATTCGAGCCTTGCACCTCGTTTTTATAATTCAGCCGTTTATTTTGAAAGTGGCATGAGTCATTTTACCGTGATGAAAAGTGGTGATTTTTTAATGTTTATACGAAATTATTTATACTGAGAAAAATATCAGTATCCTGAGATAACAAGTACAAGTAAATCTTCTCGAAAGTTAGCATCCATATTTTGAAACGTGTTAAAACGCAAACCCTTAATTATATCGACTTAAAAACAAAGTGACTTATGCCACTTTCTAAATAAACGGCTCAATTGTTGACAATCGGCGGCTATAAACAAGAGCCGCGAGGCTCGAATAATCATATCTCCTCTTCTTAAATTGTTCATTTTTGGTTACAAGTTGAAAGAAAAATAGAGAGAATTTATTGTATCTCGATTGCTCGTAACTAGTCTGCGGATCTCTGTGCAAAATAAAATGTTTCTCTGTCAAGTGTAAGAAACAAAAGTTCGATAAAAATGTATTTCTTTATTTAACAACGCTGATCTATAATGGTACTGCAAGGGATTAACATTAAACCTACAAAGCGTAAATGTAAACGGAATGATTTTCCTCTGCAAAGTGATCGAATTTATTTAGATTTTGTGCGATCTTCGTTCGAAAATATGTTCGAATATATTGCATCGAATTTATTGCATTTTATCCCATTGAAGCATCCTTGTTATTTCAATAATTGTTAAATGAAGAATATGACATGGTCATTCGATCAGCCTTGCCAGATTTAGTATTAACAATTTGAATAAGTTGTACTACAAATATATTCACAAAAATTCTTCTGACATCTTTACAGTTTCTTTTTCATGAATTCATAAAATCTGCAACTAATGCGGAAAATTGTTACATTACATAAATATCTTCTTTCGTAATGCATACGTATTAGTCTTTGATCTATGGTTATACACGATCATATGGATTTTATGGAGTTATAGCAAAAATGTGTAGTTGAAATAAAAAATCGTGAACGCACAAGAAAAATTTATTAATTTAAACTATTATATAATTTATATAATTATATATATTATAATTTATATATTATATTATATAATTTTTAAATTTTATATATAATTTAATTTATTAATTTAAAGTCGATTTTCTCGATAACGTAGTAACGAATGAAAAGATCTATTTTTTATTTGTTTTCTTTTTAACGTAGAATCATCCCCTTCTCGATGGTGTCGCCGATGCTGCGACACCCTGTATATTTCGTCAAAGCTTGCCGGCCGCGCTGAAAAAGCGAATCGCGTTACAAACGAACACTTCCCAGCGACGCGTTCGACTGTAATGCCAGGAACGCGGGACAATCGAAGGACACTTGGCGAGAATTTTGCGATTTAATAGTGACCGGCGATTTAATCAGATTACGTTATTTCGCAATGTCCGGTGCCGGCCGGCGAGTCATTTGCCAGAATTTCTCCGCAAACGGCGGCCCGCGGGTCCCGTTTTTGTTTCGCGTGAATTTCCAGTTTATGTCTTTACACGGATGTTCATTACAAATCGTCATTCGGCATCAGTATGTAGCGTGTGCAGCAACATGCGGCGGAGGTTTTGGATTTGGTCGCGAGTAACTGAACCATGGGATAGCGTGGAATGAACCATCGCGGTCTGCGGAATAAATGACCCGGTTTGTCAGCCGCCATACTGCGCAGAATATTCGGCTCAATAGAGCATTTAAGTGAATTAGAGTAACGTAATATTGAGGCCCGGCCTGGTGTGGTCCCGGTTGTTTAGTTGGCCGTCCACTAGCCGTCCTTTTTTCCCCAGTCGAAAATCACTATCGTTTCACGATCCTTCGACTTCGATTTTATCGAATTTATTGCATCCGAATTTTTACCAACGTTGGCCACACAGATCTGGGTTAAAATATTTGGGAAAGTATTGGAAATAGTTAATGCAATGATGTTTGTACGAAATGATATTTCAAGATTTATTTCATCGGAATTTATGTCATAGGGATGAAATAGTTATTTATGCTGCGTTGAAGAATAAGTATCAAGTATTTCATTTCGTGCATAATAAATTATTTCAATTTCAGGTTCATATTCTAGAATATATATTTTTATATTATATATATTTGTATATGTTATATATAACCTATTATATATTTGTAAAATCAATTCAGTATTTCAACTAGTATTCCATTTAATACAGGAATAAATGACTATTACAAACGAAGCTCGTACAAGTTATATTTATCGATTAAAAAATAATATAATGTTATGACAACTAAAATTTAGTACGATAGTTACTTAATATACATATTTACACATATACGTAGTCAAACGCACAAACATACACACTCGCGTAGAAAACTCGCAATAAACTCGCAATAATAAAATTCAGGTTAATGTCTCCAAAAGATTAAAGCTGGCAAAATTAATGGATCAATTAAGTGATTACATGCAGGATTAAATACTTGTGAATATATATAAGTGATTACATGTAGAATTAAATACTTGCGAGTATGTAATTCTACATGTTAACACTTAATTAATCCATTGATTTTGCCAGCTTTAATCTTTTGGAGATATTAACCTGAGTTATATATTTCACGAAGTAATAATTTTAATAAGTGGAAGGATAATCTAATATTTGAATACGTTGGCAAACATATCTTCACTTTTATAGTGATTACGAATTTCAAATTATTACGAATTTCACAATTAAAACGCTGTTCCCATGCAGTGGTATTTACCCAAGGGATTTATTCAATTTCTGTTGACAGATTTAAATATCATTTTTACGTGAGCTTCTGAAAATTACTTCAATAGTTAGACATTTGTTTGTCATTAAGAGGACAGACGATTCGAAACAATTTTTAGAGAGCGGAAATTCGATCAATTATGACAATTATTCTGTGATTTAATTAATCAGCTATTTCATTTTAAAGTTTGCACAGGTGCGAACAACTGTCGGAACATACTAATTAGTATCGACAATTTAGTAACGTGTCAGCAAAAAGTCGCACACAAAGTTTGACTTATTTCAGATCAAATTAATCGACTAATTAAATAGATTCCTGTTGTCTGTATATTTTGGTAAAATTGTAGCCTACTTTTCTAAACAATTGTTGAAGCTTACTGATTATTACGACCGAATACGGTGCAGCTAAAACGTTTTAGTCGCAGTTTAATTTTATTCAGGATTGAATAAATCTATTGGCGCATTGAACAAATTTTTATTCTTCGACCATTTTTTGTCATGATTGAATAAAATATCGCCGGAAAATCTGAGTCGAAATTTAATTTTATTTTGGACTGAATAAATCAATTTGCACATTGGACAGATTGCTATTGTTTGCATATTTTGATAAAATTGTAGCTCTTTTTTGAAACAATTATCGATGCTTGTTAATTATTACGATCGAATAAAATGTCGCCATCAAGTGTCAGTGAAAATATCACTTTATTTTGAATTGTGTGAATCAAATGGCTTATTGAACAAAATATCGTCTGAATATTTCGACGAAATTGTTTAAAAAATTGCAGCGTATACAAATACAATTTCTACACACATTCATAATTCACAGCTATTTATAATTTCAAATTGTTCGTAATCTATACATGTTCATAATTTACAAATGTTTACAATACACAACTATTTATCGATTGCACGCTTATACAATTCACAACTGCTTATAATTTACACGTGTTTATAATTTAGAAATGTTTATAACTCACAACTGTTCATCATTTTCATATTTATATGATTCAAAACTGCTTAATTTACAAATGTTTATCATTTGCGCATGTATATAATTCACAACTGCTTACAATTTGTGCACATATACATATACAATTCATAATTGCTTACAATTTACATGTGTCTGTAATTTACAAACGTTTATAATTCACAACTGTTTACCATTTGCACGTTTACATAATTAAAAACTGCTTAATTTACAAATGTTTATCATTTGCGCATGTTTATAATTTACAAATGTTTACAATCCACACGTGCTTGTAATTCACAAGCATATATGTATAATTCACAGCCGTTCCTAAAGAGAAGGCAAATGTTCCATCATTTGAAATCACGTTCAGAAAATCTGCAAACGTTGGTAATTCGAAACGAATCGTTTCCACAGAACTTCATTATCGTACCGCAATCATTTTAGCTGAACGAACGGATCGATCGATAGTTTTTTCTACGCCGAAAGAAATTTTTCATTATTCTCCCGCGAAAAGGGACGTCCCCCAGCGTGCTCGTTTTTCCATTGCACGCGGGTAGGGATGTTGTGCCTTCGTTGTCCATACACGTGAAACGAACATCG